TGCAGTATTCATGTATGCAGATGACATTCATGTCTTTTTTAGAAATGCAGATCTCTTTGAGTTGGAAAATGTGGAAAACACTACGTTGGGATTGCTGTCTATGTGGATCTCCTCTAATGGTTTGTCTGTGAATTGGAATAAAACTGAATCTGTTCTGTTTAATAGTCCTCGTTATGTTCCTATGCCGTGCATCTGTGTTGGCTCCTTTGTAATTAATGTTGTGGATGAAATGAGATGTTTAGGTGTAGTCATTGACATCAAGCTTAATTTTTCGGCGCATGTTGATTCTTTGCTATCTCGTGTGCGTTTTCAGATAAGGAGGCTCTATAGTCTTCAAGCTCATTCGCCTCTTGGTGTTAGGATGATGGTAGCTAGATCTTTATTAATGTCTCATGTCAACTATTGTTTGGAAGTAATCTCTGTGGCGAATGCTTGCCTAATTCTGCGTGTACGCAAACTTGTTAACTCTATTATTAGGTATGTGTTTGGGTTGCGCCGTAGTGATCGTGTAACACAGTATGCTATTAAGTTTCTTGGTCTGTCCTTTGAGAGATATGTTGAATATCGCCTGCTTTTGTTTCATTACAGAATTATGAGGAAGGTTAATTCTCCTTTATATAATAAGTTCGTATTTTGTAGATCATCTTGAAATCTGCAATTGCTGTTTCCAAGATTTTCGTCTGTAGTTGGAGTGAAAGAGTTGCGAGATTGTGGAATGTTCTTTTAAACTTTACAGGAAGAGGTGTTTTGAATATTTTTTGTTTGTTATTTCTTTTTAGTTATTGGCTGAGGGCCCATTTTTATGTTTTTTTTTTATTTTCCATAGAGTACACAATTTTATCGTTCTTTCTCTTTTTAAGGACTTTTTTGATATACTTGTAGTAGCTTCATTCGCTCGGTTGGAAACGAGTGATGATTAGCGCCTGAGTGATTTGATGCCTCTTACCCCTTTCCTCTCTGCCTTGCTTAACTGTTGTTCAGCTTGATAGAGGAGTTGTGTCTGAGGGTCTAATTCTAAATTGCTACTAAATTTAAATTATTATTATTATTTTTGTATATATATTACTATTCCTTGATCATTTTTTTAGTTTTTTTATAGATTAATATAGTTATAGGCTGTTTTTATACTGTTTTATGTTAATATACGATTTTGGCCATGTTGGCTTATTTATATTAAATTGTATGAAAATAAATGAAATGAAAATCTTCTCTCATACCGCTGCTGACAACTCCGTCCCCGTAGATGCTTCTATGGGGTCTTGGAACAATTCGGCAAAATTTATTTCTCGAACAAAATGTGCGATCAACTCACGGCCACATAATGTGTCAAAATCGCCATCATCGACTGGTTATGCCCAAAGACACATTCACCACGGTAATCTTGTGCCCCGTATGACTTGAAAATCACCGGTCCGCTTTCTTAAACACTGCTTTATGTTCTTTAAATTCTCCAAGCTAATAATACTGCAATGAGCATCCGTATCCAGTTCCATATCCACTTTCTGACCGTCTATCTTCATTGTGACAATTTTCCCATCGAATGGCCCTTTTGTTCCGACTGTTGCAATCTGAGACGTATGTGCCTCCTCACCCTCATCTGACAACAACGACTCCTCTATCTGCTTTGTATTTGACTTGCACACTTTACTTATGTGGCCTATCTTGCCGCATGAAAAACACTTTGCGTTTTTGATTTTACAATCCTTCCGTACGTGTCGACCACCGCAACCATAACATCTCACCTCTGTAGTTTTATTCGACTTCTGCTTCACATCATTTTTCGTCTTGACAGGTATGAATCACAATTTGCATGTCGGTTCTGTAGTAATATTCTCACCTGTATTTACTACACCCGTTGATACTTGGGTTAACTCCTTTGCCTGGCACACTCATATGCCTCCGCAAAACTTTTTGGTTGCTTAGTAATAATCTCGTCACAAATATTGCGGGATTCCACTCCAAATATCATCTGGTCAATCAGCATCCTATCTATGAATCCGCTATAGTCACACGAAGCCACAGCTTGCTTCAAACGCAGTGAAAAATTTGCCAACGATTCCCCTACTTCTTGGCGTATACTCCCGTCGAAATAATTTATCAATGTTGTTTTGATTTCTTCATATTTTATTTCTTCTGGCTTCTTAGGACTAATTAGAATCTGCTCAATTTTAACGCCCAATCGAATCTGTCAAAATAGTCCTTAACCGTTGAGCCACCTGTGCTTTTGTGTTCGTTTATTGCAAACCGTGGCGGTCTTGTTGTATTTATGTCTTCTGACGTCACAGACTGCGCCGCAATGTTTGAACGGCCTCCATAACAGCATCACGTACGAATTGCATCAACTGCTTCTGGTTCATCGTGCCTATACACTTCTGACACCAATATTGTATACTCAAAGTCTGAAGTTTCAATTTAATTCAGTTTATTTCATTAAGAAAGATTGTAATGTACAAGTTACATCTGACAGATAAAATAAAAGTGATGTCAATAAGAGTTTACATATACATCATTATCCATTTGGTATTTTCATATGTAGACAATGTGCAAATGTTATTGAATCCTATAAATTTAAATTAATTTTAGTTTTGTGAGATATTATTCAATATATTTAGAAACAATATTGGTAAGTTATAATTCAAAAATAAACTTAGATTACCTGACGAGCTCGAAAACATATGTTTTATTAATTTGTAAAAATTATTAATCGTAAAAATATATCTTTCGACTGCTCATTCGGCTAAAACGAAAATAGCAGCAGCCGAAATCCGAGCTATTGCTTATTTTGTGTGCTGAATTTTTATCTTTACTGTCGGTTAGGGCTTATCAAAACGAGCTAAATAGCTATGCGCTGAGCTAAATAGCTGATCATGTGCTATTTTAGCCGTGGTTGTCTAGATTTAATAGCAGTTGCACTGAAAGGCTAATCTAATTTCAATAGGTGCTAGTTTAGCAAGCACGATATACACACTTAGTTTAGTAAACACTAATTAACAAATTTTAGTAAAGCCAGACGCTGAAAATACGCTTTAGTCATTAAAACAAAACATTATAGTTTTAAGCATTTCTTTCTTCACTTCAAAATTGTAAATTTTCGTGTTAAAAAAACAAAGACTCAATAAATTTTAATTGAAAATATGTGCTAGTTTTTTAACTCTGATTGTTACTAATTGAAATGAGAAGGTTTTTATGAAAAAAAATTAAATAGCCTCCAGAAAATTCGCGAAAATAATAAATTCAAATATTAATTTTTTTATATGAAATTTTGTGTGAGAACTGGCTACTCGAATGAAAAAATTGAAGTCTCATAGTAGAAAACTCGGAGAAAATTTTGCGAAATTTTGCATGCTATCTCGTGATTAGATTTTGATGGATGTAAGTTGGAAAATTCGTTCTGAAACTTGGCAAAAATAAAATTTTTAATGGAAAACTCAGTAAATTCCGAAAAATGCTAATTTTTGCGTGATATTGCATGGTTTGATTTTGGTCGATATAAAATGGAAATTTCGTTCTGAGACCTTTCAAATTCCCGATAGTTATGATAAACATGATAAAAGGTGGTTTGCGGCAATTTAATGTGAATTAGTTAACAACCACCACAAACCGTCCCGCTGCTTTTGAATGCGATATCTAAATGCATTTAATGATCTTTAATGCGTTGATATCGTTTCATTGTCTGTCGTATACCAGCATTCTAATGCATGAAGTTTCAATTACAAACCTGGTGGCGGAAAATTGAATTTTCTGGCACATCCTCCTGAGGTATTGTAATCGTTTCTTAACGGCAATACAATCCAAGCAGACCATTTTCTGTCGAATACACAAGAATAAAACGTATGCTTTCTGTTGGAGCCTTTTCCATAATTTAGTAATTTAAAATTAAAGTACCTTTTTTTTATTATTTAATTAATTCATTAATTAAATGAATTACAAAGGTGTTATTGTAAGTATTAAAATAGTATGTAGATCCTAATAAGAAAATGAATTGGAAAAAGGAAAGAAAATGAATTGGAAAAAGGAATAATAAAATAAAGGTAGTTGTTGTACTTACCGCCAAATAAGCCGCATCGACTTCAACCTTCTTACCGAACAAAGAATACTAAATAACTAAAAAATAAAAAAAAAAATAAATAAAAAATTAAAAATAAATAAATTTGGTTTTTTATACTTCCCTGAAATTTTCCATACATTTTATTGTTGTTGTTGTTGTAGCAGTAGTACATGTGTGTGTTTGTGTTCTGCTAATCTGGTTCCAGCTCCAGGTTTAGAAATTCGGCTACTTTAACGGGCTGTAGCCAGAGATCCTCCGGAGTGAGTTGGGAAGGTTTGGCTGAGCAATTAAAAAGGTGTAGCGTATTGTGCGGGCCTGTATCGCACGCCGGGCAGGCGTCACGCACATCTTCATCAATTCGTGCCCAATACGAATTGAGGCGACTACACCATCCTGAACGTAATTGCGCCAAAACTACCCTGGTTTGTCTAGGCAGCTGACGTTCTTCGGCTGCAATGGATGGGGGGTGGACTCCGAGTGTTTGCGCCAATGCGGGGAAAGGGGGAATTGCAAAGCAAACCAATACAAAATAAAATAAATAAAAACACAATAGCGGGGTTAGTTTTAAATATAAAAAAAGGCAAAAGCCAGGCTTTATTAATAATAAGTATAAAGGATTTTGGTAAACAATATTACCTTAATTTGCACGATAGCGGGGGAGAGCCTTCGTTCGTATCGGGGCGATAGCAGAAGAGAGTGTTAATAACAAAACAACGATCCCAACATGAAGTAAGTCGGCGTTGGCGCCATTCGCCACTCGTTGAAATCTGTTGACATTGACAGATTTCAACGATGTTAATCATTTACAAATAATTAGGCGTTAACCCATTGTTAACGTAGCAAAACACTAATTTTCAATCTAAATTAAACATGCCGCCCACCTTGCAACATATTGGGATGTTGTAACTAAAATACAATACATAATTATATTTTTTTCAACTTTTTTTTTCAATTCAATTCTTTATTTTTCTTTATTTTAAATTCAATTCATTTTTTCAAAAAACATTGTGTAACACTATATGTTACATATGCCCGACAATACCCAACCAAATATGGTGTAGTGGGCTATCAGTAACCCTGGCGTCGCATGCACCCGATGTGTTACGACCCTGGCATAGACTTCCGGCCCGAGTACCAGGGCCACCCGACCAGGCCTATTAAAATCAGGATCTGCCAAAGGAAGACCAAGAAAGGAGTCTTTTATGCGCTCTGGGATTGCCGCTGTAGGCGTACGCGCATGGTCCAGATGGGTCACCACTGCCACAATTGACAAGGACTGACTCCGGTCGTATATCGAGGTGAGACTAAGCCTACATATTTGGCTACCATCGATTCTTGAAGTAGGGATACGAAGACTATGCACCAAAGAGGAGCATATCTGACTCTGCCTACTACATTGGTCCAATACCGCCCTCACGATAGAGGGACGGCCAAAAGCATCAACTTTGACTAACAAAGTCGGGGAAATGCAGATACCAGACTGGAGGGACAACAAGCCGACAACAAAATTTAACAACAACTCTACGACGCATGTCAACATTCATGACGCGGAAGTCGCTACATCTATCCAAAGGGTGCATGCGGTCACAAAGGCGACATTTATGGGAGGCCGCAGATGAATCCCGAGAGGATTCGGACCTATTAGATTTGGCCGACTCCTCCAACGAATGAGGAATGGCAACCGGAGCCGCAGATGGACCCGAAGATCCGGACTCGGTTCGCGATTTAACAAGTTTGGGGTTATCAGCAGGGACCGGAGCCGCAGATGAACCCACAGGTATGGATTCGGACTCGGTTTGCATTGGTTCAGCAGATGCGAGGGCCGCAGATGAATCCCGTTTGGATTCGGACCCAGGCTCAGATATTGTCACAGCAGCAATTGGTTCCACCAGGGCTGCTTCTACGGCAGCAGAGGACAAAGTAGTATCAGTTGGGGGACAATCCGGGGTAGCTTTGACGTCATCAATATTCAAGAGTTCGTCTTCCGTGTACAATTTCATCGACATACTATATAACGAGAAGAGAACCATTTTAATTACTTATCGAAGGGTCGTCGCCCAGAACGACCAACTTGGCGATGGGCCGTCTTACAACGCCGTTCTCGGTTCGGACGTCCGCGACTCGAACGTGACCGTCAGTTCCCGGATGAACATTTACGACACGGCCTAATTTCCACGACGTTGGCGGAAGCTGATCATGACGAACAACAACTAGATCGTCTATGGCTAACTCTCGCTCTGGAAATTTCCATTTATACCTCATGTGTAAATGTTTCAAATATTCCTCTTTCCACCTCAAACTAAACTGGTGGGCGAGAGCCTGAACTTTTCTAAACCGATTAACTAAGCTTAATGGTTGCTCTGTGATGAGAGGTTCAGGCGGTGCTAACAAAGGGGCCCCAATGAGGAAGTGTCCTGGCGTTAACGCGACAATTTCGTCCGAACTGTCCGACATCGGACAAAGAGGACGCGAGTTCAAACACGCTTCAATCCTAGCCAAAACTGTTGCTAATTCTTCGAACGTGAACTTAAGATTTCGAGCTTGCTTTCGAAAATGTAGTTTAAAGCTCTTGACTCCAGCCTCCCATAACCCTCCCATATGAGGAGCACCAGCAGGTATAAAATGCCACGATAGGCCCTGATCTGATAACGTGGAGGAGACTGAGCCAGCACTTTCTTGGAGGAATTCTCTAAAACCTCTCTGAATTTCCCACGAAGCGCCAACGAAATTTGTTCCATTATCCGAAAAAATAGGACGGGGACAACCACGACGAGCAATGAATCTATGCAACGCGGCCATGAAATTAGCAGTCGACAAATCGGATACTACTTCCAAATGAATCGCCTTTGTAGCGAAACAAACAAATACACATACATAACCCTTTGTGAGGCGACAAGACCGACCTAGGTAAGATTTTATATCAAATGGACCCGCAAAGTCAACGCCAGTATTTGTAAATGGCCGATCAAGAGTTGTTCTCTCTGGGGGAAGTGCAGCCATGAATTGACTGCAGCTGCGCTTTTTCAGTAAAATGCAGACTTTGCAACGCCGAACTACAAAACGAATGAGATTTTTCATACGTGGAATCCAATATTCCAATCTCAAAGTACGCAACATCAATTGAATATCACCGTGTACACATTTGAGGTGAGTATATTCGACCAACCTAAGAGCCAAATTACTACGATAGGGGAGGATTATCGGGAATCGCTCCGAATAGGAAAGCGTGGGTGAATGTGCCAATCTACCATTCATTCGCATGACGCCGCTTTCATCCACGAAAGGATTGAGGGGAAGTAGGCAACTCCTACCATCTAACGGCTTTTTGTCCATTAAATTCTTATACTCGTTAGAGAAATGCATCTTTTGAGCGATAATTACCAGCCGAGTGCGAACGTCACTTATTTCTGATGAACAAATTTGCTTGCAGGGAAAACAAAAATGGTTTCTATACCGGGGATGTGTTTGGCGAAGAAATCTAACCAAATAGGCAATGACTCGAAACGCTTTACGCAAACATGAAAAGTTAGCCAAAATATCTTCAAAGGTCGACGAAAAGAACGAAAAATGAGATCGAACTATTCTCATTTCGAGGTCAGTATCAAGGGTAGCCAGATTATGATTCGACCATATAGATTTATTCTTACCTAACCAATTAGGACCGTGCCACCATAGGCGGGAGGAAGACAATTCTGAGGGAGACATACCTCGACTTCCAATGTCAGCGGGGTTATCTTCTGATTTGACATGATACCAGTTGTGATTGCCAACATTTTCCTGTATCCGACATACACGATTTGCAACGAAAGTTGTCCATGTGGAGGGGGTTTTCTTCAGCCAAGCTAGCACTATAGTGGAATCTGTCCAACAATAAATTTGACGAAATTCGATACCTATCTCCCGAACTATAGTTTTTAGAAGATCTGACGCCAAAACTGCTCCACAAAGCTCTAAGCGGGGTAATGAAATTGATTTTAAGGGAGCGACCTTTGTTTTGCACGATAGCAAATTTACGAAAATTTTTCCATCTGGGGACTCAACACGCATATAGACTACCCCCGCGTATGCCTTTTCCGAGGCGTCGGAAAAGACATGAAGTTCTGCAGAAACTCCTGGAACATACTGAATCCACCTAGGAATCCGGATTGAGTTTACATGGGGATATGATTCCACGAACCTTTTCCAATCAGCCTCAGTTGCTGCCAAAAGTGAATCATCCCAACCAACATTATCCAGCCAAACCTTCTGCATAATCATTTTCGCTGTCACAATGACTGGAGCCAACCACCCAACGGGGTCAAACAATTTCGCAATAGCCGAAAGAACTTCCCTCTTAGTGTAGGTGAATTTATTAACAATAGGGTTAACTGCAAAGTAGAAACAATCTAACCGCGCATTCCATCTTATACCCAAAGGTTTAGAACTGCTAGCTTCTACAAACGACAACAATTGAGCGTCAACCAAATGCTCAGGGGGGAAACGATCCAGAATAGCTCTATTATTGGCAGTCCATTTTCTAAGCTCAAACTTGGCCGACGAGAGTGCCCTAATCAACTGGTCCCTAGCTGCTAATGCAGTCTCAATGTCATGAGCTCCAGCTAAAACATCGTCAACGTACATACAATTTCGCAAAATATGCGCTGCTAGGGGGAATTCTGACTCAGTATCATCTGCCAGTTGTAAAAGCGTCCGAATTGCTAAGTATGGTGCACAATTTACACCGAATGTGACCGTCTGAAGTTCATAATCTAAAACATGCTTCGTCGTCGAATCACGATATAAAATTCTCTGAAGAGGTGAATGCTTAGGATCTACGCGGATTTGCCTATACATTTGGGTAATATCAGAGTTGAAAACGAATTTGAAGACACGCCAACGGAGAATTAAAAGGACCAAATCTTGTTGTAACGTTGGACCTACGTGCAAAATGTCGTTAAGACTCTGCCCGTTCGAAGTTTTGTTTGAGGCATTAAATACTACTCTGAGTTTAGTAGTCGACTTTTCTAAGTTAATCACAGGGTGATGAGGTAAATAACACGAAATGACTTCCTTTGAAGTATTTGCGGATATTGGCTTCATGTGATCAAGTTCTAAGTATTCCGATAATACTTGATCGTAAACTATTTTTACGTCGGGCTTCTTCATCAAAGAATTTTCGTTGCGGTAAAATTGTTTAAGAACATTTGAGCGAGATTCTCCCAAGTACCCAGTAGCGCCAATCTCTTTTATTGGTAGTGTAACAATATATCTACCCTCTGAGTTCCTACGAGTAGTCCGAACATAATTCTCCTCACAGAAACGGTCCGATGGGGATAATATTTTTCTTTTGGGAGTTTCCTCAAGTTCCCAGAATCTCAACAATGTGTGGTTAAGTTTATCTTCCTCTGCTACGTCAATAGTAGTGGCGAAAGTTCGGACTTGTGCTGCTGGAATAGGACCAGTGACAAGCCAGCCAAACACGGAGTTTTGAGCCAGTAAAGCTCCAGACAAAATCGGACGACAACCATCTAAAACTATTTTGGGGTACAGATCGGCTCCAAACAACAGATCTACAGGTCGAGGTTCAAAAAGATTTACATCAGCTAAGCGAAGGTCGGGGATTTGCTTCTTCAAATCTGAATTTGCCACAAATGACGGAAGATTTCCTGAAATGGCACGCAACACTAACACACTTGTTTCCAATAACAGAGATGTGTCGAATGGACTGCTAATTCTTATACTGCAAGCTTTATTAGCAGTAGCCGAAAGCGAACAACTCACTCCTGATACAACAACATTAGCAGGGGATACGGGAAGCTTCAAACGATTTTGGAGTCGCTCTGAAATAAAAGAGGACTCTGACGCAGGATCTATCAGCGCCCTAGCAGGATACAGAACACCGTCGTGAACAATATTCACCATTGCCGTACCCAAAAGTACAGCTTTGTTCTGTGCGGCGTGAAACACTTGACGGGGTACACATCCAGCCGATGTGGATGCTACACAGTTTCCCGAATTGGATTGCCTAGAGCTCGAATTTGGGGATACGTTAGAAGTCACGGTGGAAGTTTGAGACGAATTACCCAATGTAATATCTTCCCGATGCAACAATGTATGATGTGCCTTATTGCACTTCGAACAACGACGTTTGCTATCACATTTCTTTACTTCATGACCGCTACGAAGACAGTTCATGCAAAGTTGATGGCGTTTCATTACTTTATACCGATCAACGGGTTTTAAGCTCTTAAAGCGGGGACAGTCATACAATTTATGACGTTGATTTTTACAAATGACACAGTGTGGACTTTTCGAAGCACGGGGAGAACTAGGCGATTTAGGGACATTAACATTAGAAACATGCGCTTGAACTTTTCTACTACTTAACTGCTTCGACCTATCTGTGCCACGCATGTCATGAAGACACATGAGCGTACGAATTTTCTCAGTGAGAAAAGCATCCAAGTCTTTCCATGACGAAAGAGAGGATTTATCCTTTACACTTTGCTCCCAAAGGGTCTGAGTAAGTTTTGGCAGCCGTTGGAGACACAAAAACACAAGAATCGGATCCCAATTTTCAGTTTTAACATCATAAATTGCCATCGAAGTTAAACAACCATTTATACCGCGTTGGATCGTCTTTAATCCTGAACTAGTCTCACTATAGAGAACAGGAATATCGAATAAAACCTTCAACTGGTTATGAACAAGAAGTCGAGGATTGTCATAAGTTTCGATCAAAGCCTTCCAAGCAGGCGCAAAACTACGATTAGTTAGTGGAAACTTGGACAATATCTCGCGAGCTTCCCCTGTCGTCTTCCGGACCAAATGACAAAGTCTTTCAATGTCGCTTAGACGAGCATTATTAATGTACACAGCGGTAAACAAATCCCTAAAGGTTGGCCATGAGTGGAAATCGCCTTCAAAAACATCTGTGTCACAAGGCGGCAAAGCTAGATTATGTACCACATCCGAGTTTGAAACATAATCTAAAGTTCGAAAACTCGCACTACTATTCCCCACAATAGAGGTAAGCGGAGTCTGAATTTGGGAAGGATTTTCGAGCGAAGCCTGATTCGAAACATTCAATTGGTTTCGCGTTTCAACCGACGTTTTCGGCACAATTGGATTCAGTGATTTTTCTAGGGTTTCACCCGGGGTTTCTAACAACGAGGCTACTGAACCACTAACACTTGAATTAATAGAAGTAGAACGAACCCTTTTAAATTGGTCTAACTTCCTATTAATTGCAGCCTGGCATCGCAAATAGAGTTGAAAAGATGCATTATACTTTTGATCGACAGCATTTATTTCTTCTTTTGACGTCTCTACCGACGTCATCATAAAATCACATCCTTTTTCAAATTTTTCCTGCACTCTTTCCCACAAGTTCTCTAATCCATTAATTTGGGATTTTAAAGACTGGAAATCCAATTCCTCATCACGCATAGACTCAAAGCTAGCGTTAAACTTTACGAGAGCATCCGAAGCTCTGATAAACATATCAATTGGAGTCAAAGGCATTTTTAAAGGTTTTTACAAAGTCTCTACTACAATAAGTAAGAGAAAAACAACTAAAACACGATTTGCTATAAAAAATAACCAAAAACCAAATTCGACTTCGCACAATATACGAAGGAGTAACAACGCAAAATTATAAACAAACTCAAAAATTTCCAAAAAAAAATCGTCCAAATTTGTTAAATGCTCAAGGAAAGTACAGAAAGATGCCAAGAATTTACCAAAACCGCACTATAGGGCCAAAAAACTTGAAAACTTTCGCGAAATAATTGCCTTGAACCTCTCACACTATAGTGAAAAATCAAAATTTGAACTATAAATTTCAAAATTATAATCTCCAATGAGATATTTAGCAACCGATAATAAGGTACCACGAAAAATGTGAGAAAATCAATAAGTAAATATAAAATATTCAAAAAATATATCGATAAATATATATACAAATTATCAAATTTTCCAAAAATTGTATATTCTACCGGTAATTTTCCAAAAAACCGTATTTTCGCGCACAAAAAATCTAAAATATTTTAATTTGTACTATTTTCTAACGAAAATATAGAGATTTTTCAAATTTTATATCTAAAATTACCTACAATTTAGGCAACTATACTACCGAATGTAGCGTGTTTTTTCAAAAAATATTGACCAACAAATAAAATTTTCGAACAAAATCTCCAAAATTAATTAAAAATTTCAAATTCCGCACGAAAAATATCAATTTTAACACTTTTTACTAAAAAGTCGTATTGACCGATCGTAGGGTGCACGCGTTATTTAATTTTTCCAAAAACGTCGTTTTATTACACCCAATTACCATTAATAATTATTCCAAACAAAAATCAAAAATTTTTCATATATTATATTACAGGTCGTTTTATCACGGTTCACCTGTAATGCAACGAACGATAGAAAAATATCAAACGTCTGACCAAACGTATGTATGTATACGCTTATGTGTGGCTGACCGACCAAGCAGTGATCATCAGTGGTGTGCCTATTACTGCGTTTGTATGTTTGTATATCGATCGTTAGCGAACAACCAAACAAACCAATGTAATTGCTGCGTGTACTTTTTGGGGGTGATTTTTAATGAATATTTTGATTAGCAAAAATGCAAATTTGCAAAAAATTTAACAATTTTTTAATTTCAACTATACCGATCGATAGGAAATTTAACGTACATTAAAATGACACCCGACAACAATATTTTAATTTCACTGGAAAAGCCAAAAAAATACACTTTTTTCACAATTATTTTGGTTTATTTGTTTTCTATGATTTTTGTCGAATGCCGACGGCAAAACAATATTTGCAAAACTAGACGGCGGGGGAACGGGGTACGCGACGCGTTGTAAAACGGCCACAGAACAAATAAACGACACGAATTGTTGTTGTTTAACACAATTTTTTTTCGAAAATTCTTTCTTAAAGAATATTATTTTTTCACAAGGCACTTTTTTCACTTTACGTACCTGGTTGTTTTTAAAGGAAAATAGATGATGATGAGGATGATGATAATGATGTGTATGTGGACTGTATTTTGTTGATGGTGATGATGAAGTTTGCTTTACAAATAGAAAAAAAGAAGAAACGATTAACTTCTTTTACCAACACCTCGTTCGTAATCCGGCTCGAAGGACCAATGTTTGCGCCAATGCGGGGAAAGGGGGAATTGCAAAGCAAACCAATACAAAATAAAATAAATAAAAACACAATAGCGGGGTTAGTTTTAAATATAAAAAAAGGCAAAAGCCAGGCTTTATTAATAATAAGTATAAAGGATTTTGGTAAACAATATTACCTTCATTTGCACGATAGCGGGGGAGAGCCTTCGTTCGTATCGGGGCGATAGCAGAAGAGAGTGTTAATAACAAAACAACGATCCCAACATGAAGTAAGTCGGCGTTGGCGCCATTCGCCACTCGTTGAAATCTGTTGACATTGACAGATTTCAACGATGTTAATCATTTACAAATAATTAGGCGTTAACCCATTGTTAACGTAGCAAAACACTAATTTTCAATCTAAATTAAACACCGAGGACGGCATTCACTTTATAACTGCTAATAGCATCCGCGACTGCATCGGTGTGAATGCCACTCAGACCTGCCTGATAGGCTTCGTGATCTAGAGGCTCTCTCTTGTAGCGCTGGACCTCCCTCTCTAGATCATGTATGTCCTTCCTGACACGCCTGGGTGGGGGAGAGTTATCCACCATATGATGGTTGGGATGACTCTCACGGTAACACCCAAGCAGGTACTGCAACGAAAGCATATGATTATGCTGACGTAAGGGAAGGACTTTCGCCTCCTCATGTAGATGGTCCACTGGTGTCATGAGGAGGCACCCTGTCGCAGTTCTCAGGGCAGCGTTCTGGCAGGTCTGGATATTCTTCCACTGCGTAGCACTAGTATTCGCAGACCACACTGGAGCCGCATAGTTGACCACTGACCGACCTATCGCGTTATAAGAGGTCAACAAGGTTTCTTTGTCCGTACCCCAAGAGCTGCCGGCTAGCGCCTTGAGGACCTTGTTCCTACTTTTCATCTTGTCGCAGATAGCTGTGGCTTGCGCGGACGACTTGAAAATGCTGTCGAACGTTACCCCAAGAATCTTGGGGTAGTTCGTGGTCGGTATTAGATTCCCCTCGACCTGAACATTCAGCTGTGTTCTCATCTCCGCAGACCATGTGGTAAAGAGTGTGGCCGTTAATTTCGTGGCGGATATTTTCATATTCCTCGCGTGGAAGTATGCGGCAAGCTCCGCGAGATAGGGGTTCAACCTTTCGCATATGTCATCGACCACTGGACCCGACGCCATGATCGTACAATCATCCGCATACGTTACGATCTCAATGCCGTCTGGAGGGCGAGGAATTCCGGAAAGGTAGAGGTTAAACAGTTCCGGAGATATCACCCCGGACGACTGGCGTCCACACATATAGTTGATTATCCAACGTTTCAAACTTGGCCGGAGGGTAGTTCTCTGTACGTCCTCAAACAGTGTGGCATGATTGACCGTATCAAATGCCTTTGATAGGTCAAGGGCTACCAACACTGTTCTGTCACACGGCCTGTTCTGGTTCAGTCCTCTACTAATATGTGTGGAAATGGCGTGTAATGCTGTTGTGGTACTATGTTGTGGACGGAATCCATGCTGGTGGTTGGCAACAGTATAGCTTCCTCTAATGCTGGGGAGGAGTAAAGCCTCAAGAGTCTTAGCTACTGGCGACAAAAGCGAAATCGGCCTGTACGATTCGCCTTTACTGGCATCCTTGCCTGGCTTCAGTAGCGGGACCACCCGGCCCATTTTCCAGGTTTCGGGCACTATGTGGGTGGCTAGCGACAAATTGAAAACTTTCGTTAAGTACTCGACTCCCGGCGTATCCAGCTGCTTCAACATTACCATTGAGATTCCGTCCGGGCCCAACGCTTTGGATGACTTAGCGTTACGGATGACATTTGCAACATCACCCATCGTAAACTGTGGTGGTTCCTCCTCGGCGGGAAGAGATCTGATACGACGTAGTACTCTTCGCTTCGCCCTATCGCTCTCGGGGTGCTCGACAAATTGTCGGTTAAAATATTCCGCGCACCTCTTCGGATCAGTCACCGTTACGTCGTTAAAAGTGACTGAGGTCCTATCATCCTATTTTCCAGGGTTCGAGAGCGACTTAACCGTTACCTACAGCTTACTCATATCGGTTCCAATGTTGCAGCACTTCAGATGGTCTAGCCACTTTTTCCTCTTATGATCCTGTACCAACCGGTTGACTTCCACTGTCAAATCACTGATTCTAGGATCAGTAGGGTAGTAGCTAATCCCGCTGCCTCTGCTGGGAAGTTTGGTCTTATCTCGGGTATTCGACCAGCAGGTATATAGCGAGCGGCTGCAGCTCTCATGATGTTTCCATACATTTTTTTTTTAATATTTTTTATTTATATTTTTTATTTATATTTTTTTCCATACATTTTATGGTTGTTGTTGTTGCAGTTTTACATGTTCCGTTGTTTTTTTTCCGACTAATTCGGTTCTTCCTCAATGTCCATGTTTAGGAATTCTGCTACCTTTATGGGCTGTAGCCATAGATCCTCTGGACGGAGTTGGGTAGGTTTGGCTGGACAATTAAACAAGTGCAGCGTGTTGTGCGGGCCTGTATCGGACGCTGGGCAGGCGTTCCGCACATCCTCATCAATTCGTGCCCAATACGAATTGAGACGGCTGCACCATCCTGAACTTAGTTTGGCCAAAACTACCCTGGTTTGCCTAGGTTAGTTTACGTTCTTCAGCTGCAATGGATGGGGGACTCCGAGTATGGCATTCATACTGTAATTATTAACTACCTCCGCGACTGCATCAGTATGAATGCTATTCAGACCCGCTTGATAGGCTTCATGATCTAGAGGCTCTCTCTTATATCGCTGGACCTCTCTCTCTAGATCGTGCAGGTCCTTCCCGACACGCCTGGGTGGGGGAGTTCTATCCACCATATGGTAGTTAGGGTGACTCCCACGATAACACCCAAGCAGGTACTGCAACGAAAGCATATGATTATGCTGACGTAAGGGAAGAACCTTCGTCTCCTCATGTAAATGGTCCACAGGAGTCAGTTCAGTCAGTTGCAGTTCTCAGGGCGGCATTCTGGCAGGTCTAAATACATTTCCACTGCGTTGCACTTGTATTCGCCGACCACACTGGAGCCGCATAGCTAACCACAGACCGACCTATCGCTTTATAAGAGGTTAACAAGGTTTCCTTATCCGCACCCCAAGTGCTGCCGGCTAGCGCATTGAGGACCTTGTTCCTACTTTCATTTTATCGCAAATAGCTGTGGATAGCGCGGAAGACTTGAACATGTTATCGAATGTGACCCCAAGGATTTTGGCGTAGTTGGTGGTCGGAATTATATGCCCCTCGACCTGCACATTCAGCTGTGTTCTCATCTCCGCAGTCCATGTAGTAAATAGTGTGGCCGTCGATTTAGTGGCGGATATTTTCATATTCCTCGCGTGGAAGAAGGCGGCAAGCTCCGCGAGATAGTTATTCACCCTGACACATATGTCATCAACTACTGGACCCGACGCCATGATCGTACAATCATCCGCATAAGTTACGATCTCAATGCCGTCTGGAGGGTGCGGAATTCCGGAAAGGCAGAGGTTAAACAGTTCCGAAGATATCACCCCACCTTGGGGAACTCCCTGTTTCACTCTACAAGGCTTGGGCTTCTTATTCCGGAATTCCACGTACGACCTGCGTCCACACATATAGTTGACTATCCAACGTTTCAAACTTGGCCGGAGGGTAGTGTTCTCAACGTCCTCGAACAGCGTGGCATGGTTGACCGTATCAAATGCCTTTGATAGGTCGAGAGCCACCACTACTGTTCTGTGGCACGGCCTGTCTGGTTGAGTTCTCGACTGATATGTGTGGATATGGCGTGCAATGCTGTTGTAGTGCTATGTAGTGGACGGAAACCGTGTTGATGGTTAGCAACTGAATAGCTTCCTCTGATACTGGGGAGGAGTAAGGCCTCGAGAGTCTTTGCTACTGGCGACAGAAGCGAAATTGGCCTGTATGATTCGCCTTGGCTGGCATCCTTGCCAGGCTTCAGTAGCGGGACCACCCTGCCCATTTTCCAGGCTTCGGGAACTATGTTAGTGGCTAACGACAAGTTTAGGACTCTGGTTAAATACTCAACTCCCGGCGTATCCAGTTGCTTCAACATTACCATTGATATTCCGTCCGGGCCCAACGCTTTAGATGACTTAGCGTTTCGGATGACATTCGCAACATCACCCATCGTAAACTGTGGAGGTACATCCTCGGCGGGAAGAGCTCTTACACGACGTAGTACTCTTCGCCTCGCCCTATCACTCTCGGGGTGCTCGACAAATTGGCGGTTAAAACAGCCAGCGCACCTCTTCGGATCAGTCACAGTTACGTCGTTAAATGTGACTGCTGTCCTATCATCCTTTTTTCCAGGGTTCGAGAGTGACTTTACCGTTACCCACAGTTTACTCAAATCGGTTCCAATGTTGCAACACTTCAGATGGTCTAGCCACTTTTTCCGCTTATGCTCCTGTACCAACCGGTTGACTTCCACTGTCAGTTCACTGACTCTGGGATCAGTAGGGTTGGTACGTCGGAGCTCATCACGCTCATTCGCTAATCCCGCTGCCTCTGCTGGGAAATTTGGTCTTACTTCGGGTATATAGCGAGCGGCTGCAGCTTTGATGATGTCCCGGAAAATCCTTTCAGCAACCCAAACATCAGAAGGATTGGGCAGTTCTCTGAAGCGAAGGTTTGTGAACTCTGAACTCGGGCCAGTGGGCTTTCCCATGGTTAATTAAAGTGCGGCGTTCAGAGGTTATGAAATCGGGCGATCTGCTGATGGAGACGATTATCGGGAGATGGTCTGAGCCAAGAAAAATGACGGGTTGACAAGTCACGTCATTTATTAGACCGGGTGACACGATGGTTAAATCTGGCGAACTGTGACACTCTCCTCTTATTCGGGTGGGGGCATCCTCGTTTACCGTGCAAAATGTGGAGCAGTCAATCTGCTCTGCCAACGCTGATCCCCTCTGGTCATTACCTAGGACGGAATGCCACAACTCATGGTGGGCATTGAAGTCCCCTAGTACCAGGCGGTTATTGCCTACCAATAATGGGCTTATATTAGGCAATAACGCGGTTCACAGCTATTAACCGGCGGGATATACACATTAAGCACCTCTACCTCGGCAGTACCACACTTGACTGCTACCCCCATACACTCCATGTACGGGTCACTAGAGACTAGCTCAAGCGAGATAGGTCTGTATTGAACAGAGTGGTGTATCAGGAACGCTAATCCCCCACCTCCACTTCTGGTGCGATCTTTCCTCAATACGTTGTAACCATTGCAACGTTGTAAGCTACAATTTTCATTGAGCTTGGTTTCCTGCACCGCTGCGATCTTAATATTCCTCCGATTCATAAATTCCACTATCTCACCAATTTTACCTCGGAGTCCGTTGCAATTGAACTGCAAGAATGATGCATTGTCCGGAATTGGAACAGCAACATGTGGCGTTAGGTG